AACATCAGATCATGCACAGACTATCCTGTCTCTTTGAATTTAAATCTATATTTATTCACACCGGCTCTTGAAAACCTCTATGCGAACACACTTGCCCGAAAAAGTGCGGGGGACGAATTTACGTGATATTAAAAGTGTGTGTGCTCATCTCTTTCTACCAGTTACACTCTTCTTCTCTCTCTCTCTCATTACACCCCTTTACCCACTCCACAACTTTTTAGACTTACACCTCTTTCTTTACCCCTCCCCCAATTTTTTTTGCATATTCTTTCTTGCTCTTTATATATTTTCCCTTTATAGTATAAGCAATTATGATAAATGTGTAAACAGTTAGAAAAAGTAGTGAGTGTAAAGACCATCGACTCCACCGGGCAGGGACACCGGCAAAGAATAAGTATTGCTTTTTATTTCTCCTCTTTACTTGTTACGCATCGCTTTGGATAAAAGCGTCTGATAAATGACTAAATAAAAAAAATAAAAAATAAAAAAACAGTGTTTCCTTTGTTATGTGTGTTATTAAGCGAGCAGTTATTAGTTTGGAGCCAATTGAAAATATACCATGTGCATTTGATGATATGACAAATCATGAGTTTCATGCAGTGTTTTGAGAAAATTATTCACATGATTTGCAGTTTGTATGAAATGAATGAAAACTTACAATCTGTTTAGGGCAATTACGTAGTGTCCTATCTATCTATCTATCTATCTATCATCTATCTATCTATCTATCTATCTATCTATCTATCTATCTATCTATGGCTCCCCCTAGTGGACGAAGCGCCTCAAAAGTTGTCAAGTTATTTAATGCAACGACGCTTTATTTGAATGTCTCTCCACCATGTCCACTTTCTGTCTTCATAAGCTTAATTTTGTTTCTTTAATCAGATGAAGAAATAAGTAGTGATAACGCAGTTTATGTAATAAGAGAAGCAGCAGTGCGTTATAGGCGCGAGCGGAGCGTCCAGGCGCATCATGCGGAGGGTCTGCGGGGTTTCTGCTGATGCGAGCGCACTGCAGCTGAACACGTGCGTATATTAAAACCATGGACTACTGATACACACCTGGCCGTTCCTGTGTGCTTACGAACACCATCCGCATTCACACGAAGGACTGAAGCGATGCCACGAGCCTCTGGAGAATGTCAGCCCTGAAAAAGGTATTGCAGCGGGTGTTGATGGAAATAAAAGAGTGTCTTCTAATCATCAATACAAGTGTTCCGCTCGACTGACCTATAGCCAATTCAAGAGCGTTTGAACTTAGTGGATGGAAATGATTCACGTGTCATTGAAAAGACCACAGGCGATTCTGCTGTCATAAATGGTCTTAATTAATTTTTTTAAGCCACCTGCTTTTGCCAGTGCTAAACAGTGATGACGTCATGTGTAGCTCACATAGGCTATTATAAACTCAATGCTTCGTGAGATATTAGAATAAGTTTAGAATAGTAATTATATTTGTATGCCGGGGGTTGAGCAGTTAAAGATCTCCATGTGGATTGTGGAGGAGTATGTGATTTTTTTTATTTGTATTATTATTTTATTTATTTTTTGGCACATGCAACCGTCAGGAGGTCGATGAGTCCATTAAGTTGAGTTAGCATGACCCCTGTCCTGTCACAGTGAAATGGTTTATCTCATCTGTTCATCCTCTTCTCTCCACTCACTGATTGTCTCGTTCTCTGTGTGTGAAATTTA